AAAGTAAATATTTTTCACCATTGAAACGTTGAGTGGTGTACAATTGATAAAGCTATCTGAATTTGGATATGTTTACATCTTCGCGGTATGCATAGAACACATTCCGTTTCAACCATCACTTACATGTTGAATGATCAAACGATATACCTTTGCCTTACATTCAGGCCTACGTACCATGGTTGCGTTGGCTTGTTCATGAACAATTGCAATAGTTACAGTGTTAGTCAATGCAAGAATATACGGTATCGTATTTACTTTTCATCACTGAATAAAGTAAAAACGCTGGCATTGACACAAATCTACGCATTCCTAAAAAAATTCTTAAGCGAATCCCATACGAAACCATAGCCGTACTTGATAACACTTTCCATAGAGAAAGAGACAGCTTCTCAACTATTTTTTAATTTCAATGAATGTACACACGAAAATAAGAACCTAAAATCTGGGATACATAAAACAAAAACAAAAATTCTGCCACTGTCGCATTTTACACCAACACAACCTTTATCTATGGGTGACATTGAGAGTATTGTATGTTTCACAGACTTTATATTGGAAAAAGTCAACCTTTCTGATCATGAAAATAGTAAACAATACAGCGGCACCTGGGGACTAAGTGCAATGTGTCATACTTTCAACGTTTGAACTAACACAGACGCATACTTGTACAGCAAACTATGTGCATGATTCTCTATTTCTCCAACCAGTCGCCAGGTGCCGCTTTATTGTTCTTGTTTGACGTTTCCTATCTATTTGTACAGACGATCAGAGAGGCTGGAAAAAGTATTTGTATTTGTGTGAGTAAGATAGAGTAGGTGTTCAAGCAGTGGGCAAATCTTCTAATAATTCATTTACTGATTAACGATAATTGTCTTTTGCAAAGTTGTATAGTTTGAGAAGACCAACAATTTAGTGTCTCCAAATTTGTACACATATTGTTTAGAAAATGAAATGGGGTGAAGTTGGTGCTCTATATATATGAAGTGGGATTTTGTATGCATTATAATCAAGAAAAAGAATTGTCTGACGCTGTATCAAGAAAAATCGAACCCATCCGCGTAGACTCTATACTCTAGACTGAGCCAAATTCTTCCTTCACTTGAAAGTGAACAAGAGCAACCAACACTGTTCAAACCAGATTGAAATTTAAATTATTTTTTATCATTTATTCTGTATAATATATTTTCGTTCTTGGGTTTTGCCTACGGCATACAAATCGCGTTCAAATTTAGCCCGGATGCACGTTAAGGTCACAAAAATTAAAAAAAAATACTACTCCATACCAATACCTATACCTATACCGTAAGCAATTAAAAAGACAAATAACTTGAGCTGTTTTTGACAGATAATTATCGATGGTCGAACAAAGCAACAATATTGGTTGGTATGGTCATAGATGGACAAAAAATTCTTTTGAAATTAATTCTGCACTACAATCGAAAAGGGGAATCGAAGGTAATCATCCGATTATTCAGCTAAATTGGTTCAGCTATTCGTCATCTGAAAAATACACATCGATCAAAAAGATCAAACCAATTTCTTATTTTGTGAAAAAAATATGCAACATTACCATTGTTAGTAGGCAATTGAATCTATTCCAATTGCTCTGCAATATTAATTTTGTTTCCTTTACCGATAAAAAGTTTGGCGACCTTATTGCTACCTAAAAATAATACAGATCAATGGAAAAGATCAAAGCGATAGCTTATTTAGTCAGCTTTACCATTGTTAACAGCTACTTGAAGAGGTGTAAGATTCGCATTATTTTTAATACAAGTATTGGCTCCTTTACGGATGAGAAATTCAGCGACACTCCTATGACCTAAAAAATAATTTAAATGGATGAAAAAGATCAAATCATTCTTCTTTTGGTAAAGACAAGTATCCAACTATTACCATTCTGAGCAGCTAAATGAAGAGGTGTCTCTTTCATATCATTTTCACTATTAACATTGGCTCCTTTACTGAGTAGAAGTTCAGCAACATTCTTGTGACCTGAGAAATAACACAGATCGATGGAAAAAGAGATCAAATCAATCTTTTATTCAATGAAAATCAATATTCAACATTACCATTGGAAGCGGCATAATGAAGGGGTGTTTCGTTCAAAACACTTTCAATATTAACTTCGGCTCCTTGATCGATGAGTTTTTGAGCTTCCTTCACATTACCTGAAAAATAATGCAGACCAATGAAGTAGATTGAACAAAACATTTTTAAAAAAAACATAAATACTCCAAATTACCAGTCACAGCAGCTCTATGCAGAGCTGTCTCTCCATTTAAGACTTTTTCGTTTACTAAAAGTTGAAAAATTAGAAGATCAGTGAAGTGAATCGAAAAAAAATGTTGCGTACAGTGACGCAGTGTGCTGTGTGAATGAAACTTGATAAAGAAATGGAGCTTCAATCTTACCGTTTCCCCGAGATGGTGCTCCACTCGCATGAACGATCAGGAACTGTGGAAATGAAACAAAGTGATTAAATTGGAATGGAACAATGGATGAGATTGTAATGGTTTTCAACTGTTTTTCATTCGAGTAAAAATTTCCGATGGACATTATTTTTGTAGTGGAAGATTTTTTTTAATTGAAAAACTTTGAAATGGAAAATTTTTCATTAATGAAATGAGTTTCGGAAAAATTATGACAAATTGTCCACAATCGGTCCAAAATTTACAAGTGAAAAAAATTCCGAACAACATTAAAATTACAAATTTCAGACCAAAATTGTTGTCTCACCTCCAATGCCACCAAGGCAACGAGCAGCAGTGTGAAAGATCTTTGACGCAGCGTTTTTCCAGCTTCGAACTATAAAAGTGTACTGTAAACGTGTCAATTGAAGAAAATTGACGAACTGTTTGATTGACAAACGAATCGAACGCATCTGCTTATATACTTTTCAAGTATGGTCACATCAGCAATACATTAATGGTATAATTCAATCCATATACAAAGACCATTCCAATTAGAGCTCACAAAATATTATCGCACACATTTTTCAAGAAAACAATTTCAAACAATTGATGGAATTACAATTCCGCCTGTGCACGTGTGGATAATTCTGCGTTCCACATCATATGGATCGCATCGAAAATGCTAGATGTTTACATTCAGTCCTTCACTACCTTCACTATGGTTTGAAAAATAATCCAATTGGATCATGAACATTTAACTGCAAATTCAATGTAAATATTCAAAAAGTAAATATTTTTCACCATTGAAACGTTGAGTGGTGTACAATTGACAAAGCTATCTGAATATGGATATGTTTACATCTTTGCGGTATGCATAGAACACATTCCGTTTCAACCATCACTTACACGCTGAATGATCAAACGATATGACTCATGCCTTTGCGTTACATCCAGGCCTACGTACCATGGTTGCGTTGGTTTGTTCATGAACAATTGCAGAAGCTACAGTGTTAGTCAATGCAAGAATATACGGTATCGTATTTACTTTTCATCACTGAATAAAGTAAAAACGCTGGCATTGACACAAATCTACGCATTCCCAAAAAAATCTCAAGCGAATCTCATACGAAACCATAGCCGTACTTGATAACACTTTCCATAGAGAAAGAGACAGCTGCTTAACTATTTTTTAATTTCAATGAATGTACACACGAAAATAAATACCTAAAATCTGGGATACATAAAACAAAAACAAAAATTCTGTCACTGTCGCATTTTACACCAACATAACCTATATCTATGGGTGACATTGAGAGTATTGTATGTTTCACAGACTTTATATTGGAAATAGTCAACCTTTCTGATCATGAAAATAGTAAACAATACAGCGGCACCTGGGGACTAAGTGCAATGTGTCATACTTTCAACGTTTGAACTAACACAGACGCATACTTGTTACAGCAAACTATGTTCATGATTCTCTATTTCTCCAACCAGTCGCCAGGTGCCGTTTTATTGTTCTTGTTTGACGTTTCCTATCTATTTGTACAGACGATCAGAGAGGCTGGAAAAAGTATTTGTATTTGTGTGAGTAAGATAGAGTAGGTGTTCAAGCAGTGGGCAAATCTTCTAATAATTCATTTATTTCAACTGATTAACGATAATTGTCTTTTGCAAAGTTGTATAGTTTGAGAAGACCAACAATTAAGTGTCTCCAAATTTGTACACATATTGGCTAGAAAATGAAATGGGGTGAAGTTGGTGCTCTATATATATGAAGTGGGATTTTGCATGCAATTATCACTTTACGTGCATAAATCTTCAGTGGATTATAATCAAGAAAAAGAATTTTCTGACGTTGTATCAAGAAAAATTAAACCCATCCGCGTAGACTCTATACTCTAGAGTGAACCAAATTCTTCTTTCACTTGGAAGTGAACAAGAGCAACCAACATTGTTCAAACCAGATTGAAATTTAGATTATTTTTTATCATAAGTATAATTTATTTTCGTTCTTGGATTTTGCCTACGGCATATGACTCAAACAAATCGTGTTCAAATTTAGCACGGATGCACGTTAAGGTAGAAAAAAATCGAAAAAAATTCTACTCCATAGCAATACCTATACCGTAAGCAATTAAAAAGTCAAATAACTTGAGCTGTTTTTTGACTGAATATTAATCGATGGTCCAACAAAGCAACAATATTGGTTGGTATGGTCATAGATTGACAAAAAAATGTTTTGAAATAAATTCTACACTACAATCGAAAAAGGGAATCGAAAAAAATCATCCGATTATTCAGCTATTCGTCATCTGAAAAATACACATCGATCAAAAAGATCAAACCAATTTCTTATTTTGTGAAAAAAATGTAACATTACCATTGTTAGTAGGCAATTGAATCTATTCCAATTGCTCTGCAATATTAATTTTGTTTCCTTTACCGATAAAAAGTTTGGCGACCTTATTGCTACCTAAAAATAATACAGATCAATGGAAAAGATCAAAGCGATATCTTATTTAGTCAGCTTTACCATTGTTAACGGCTACTCGATAAGGTGTAAGATTCGCATTATTTTTAATACCAGTATTGGCCCCTTTACGGATGAGTAGTTCAGCGACACTCCTCTGACCTAAAAAATAATTTAGATGGTTGAAAAAGATCAAATGAACGCGTGAGAATAAAAGACTGACGCTACCAGGTTTTTCGCAAAAGCGGGATGAAAATCAGTTGCACGCAAAAGAGACATTTCAAAAGGTTGCACGCAAGAGAGAAGTATATTGTTGTTGTAATCACGGCTGTAAAATTCAAAATGCGACAAAATAAAATGTTCCGTTTGCGTGTAAACTTTTGAAATGTCTCTTTTGCGTGCAACTGATTGTTATTCTGATTGATATATATCATGGGGGTATTGCAACGACCATAAAATATATGTATATATTTCATCAAGTTTATCAAGCTCTTTCCAAGTTTATGGCATAGTGTCGAATTTTTGTTCAAGCTCTACCATCTAAATGTACAGTAAAATAATTTACGGGCACGACGTAAGATGGCGTTTTTTCCGGTCAAAAAAGTTGCAATATCCCTTTGATATATATAGTTTGTTGGCAGCACTGTCTGTGACAGGTTGCGTTTTTTTCGTGCTCTCTGTATATTTATTGTTTATTTGACTGTTTTTGTTATTTTTATGGTGATTTAGTTAAAAAATTATTTGTATCAGTGGAAATAAACATTGTCTACGTTCAAATCATATGAAGTTTAATGTTATTTATTGTGTCTCGTGAAATAATCTGTGATTGAACTGTGAACATTTTTCCACTGTGATTCCGGTGTATGACATCGCATAGCGATATGTCAACACATAAACAATGTACGCGGGACGATTGTCCACCGACGAACACCAAACCCGAATTAACCGCAAAATGCTCGCAATGTAAGCAAATGGTACATCTGCCTTGCATCGGATTAATGTGAAAGTCAGTCAAATTAATTTTCCGAACATTTTGATTTTGTGCAACAAATGCGTGAATGAAAAGTCAGATGTTGCATCGGACTTGAATGTCTCTGTTGGCTCCAAATCCACACCGAAAAAAGTGACAATCAACTCGATAATGCATGAAGTCAACTTGCTCAAAAGTGTGATCGATGCAAATGGAAAGAAATTGGATGCCATTGACAACAAAACCGAAATTATCCGCAAACAAACCGAAACAACAAATGCCAATGCAAATGCAAAACAACCAACCGCACATAACCGCGTCTTCACACCGAGATCGAATCAACCGAAACCAAATACAAACAAACCGTCAGCTTCGTTTGCAAATGTACTGCGTTAGAATGTGTCGACTCCAGTCACTTCTGCAAAGCGCAAACGCTTCGATATTGCTCCGCAAATGAAAATGAATGAAAACAAACCGACTGCAAAAATTGGCAAGAAGCAATCAATCGGCCTATCAGTGGTAGCAAAACCGAAACGGCCTGAAAAACCAAGTTTTGCAATGGCAGTTTGGGTTTCTCGACTCAATCCAGAAACAACAACCGAAGAAATTGCCGACTACATTGTCAACAATACATCGATCAGCGATAAGTCAAAGTTTAATGTCCACAAATTAGTGAAAAAAGACCGTGAGTTGAGCACACTGAAATTCGTGTCGTTCAAAATTGAATCAAGTGAAGAAGACTTTGAATCATTGATTGATGCTGATATGTGGCCAGAGCAAGTGATGGTGCGCGAGTTTTTGAAAAACAAAACGCTTGGTGATTTCTTCCCGAAATTGAATGAATCTCCGAAATTGAGTGAAAAAAACCGGTCACTTTCAGTGGAGTTGATGGAAACCGAGAAAGAGGCGCAAGTTTAAGTGAAGTTTCCATTCCAACTGATTTATATATGTTCATTCAAAACGCTCATTCCATTCGTGATAAAGTTGATGCGGTACGTTTAGCGACTGAATCAAGGGGGTAGACACAGTTTTCTAACGTACAAGTTTTGACGAATTTGTCTCATTTTGCACCGAGTAGTTCCGAGTACATCCATGCATTTTCAATGTAAACTCGAAACTACTCAAAACACTCAGTTGACTTTGACAGTTCTCTGTGTATACTACACATTACACTGAACCAAATGTCACCGAGTAGATTCTAGTATCGCCGAGTGTTTGTTGAGTATGAATTTGTGTCTAACGCTTTGGACAGAATCGTGCCCATTTCACATAATAGCATTTTTCGAGACTTGGCTCACAGAGAGCATTACAAACATAGAGCATTTTATTAGAAAATACAGTAGAACCTCGATTATCCGTCAGGCACCGGACCAGCGCATTGACGGATAATCGAAAAAGACGGATAATCGAGACTTTCATATAAATAAAACAAAATAATCAAAATTTCCATACTTTCTAATAAGTTTATGATGAAAAACAAGGTGATGTAAAAAATATATAATAGATATGAAAACAGATTTGGTGCATTGTCCAAAATATTGGACAATCTTGTGTATACGAGAAGTGTACCGAAAACGCAAAGCCTCTGATTTCAAATCTTATCGTGCGAATGTACAAGGGGCACACAATTGATTTTGATTATGAAAGTTAGTTGGCAACTTTATTCGTATGTTCAAGTGAAAAAAACTAAAAAATGAACTGAAAAAAAAACTTTTCCACCTTGAAATGGTGTGACGGTTAACGGAGGTGACGGATAATAGGAGGACGGATAATCGAGGTTCTACTGTACAATGTGTATCGCGGTGATCGTACAGTTTTGACCAGTGAAAGAAGTGACGGAGGTGGAGTTTTAGTAGCGATAGACTCAAAATTTCACAGTGAAAAGATAATTTTGACGGAAAATAGCAGACTTGAATATGTTTGTGTTAAAGTAAAGCTAACGAAGTGCAATATTTACATTTTTGCTGTTTACATTCGTTCTGTGCATGAGACAGAGAAATTTTCAGAATTTGCCGAGACAGTGACGAAAGTTAAATATGATGATAATGACACGGTAATTGTATGTGGTGATTTTAATCAGTCGGGAGTCAAGTGGATTAAGGCGGACGA